ATTAATTCTATAAATGTCATGTGTAACGTGTCGAGAATAATGAATGCACAATATCGAGTGCATAACATTTGCAATGTTTAGTTTTGCCTTTGTAGTATCAAATGAAAACATTTATTTCCATGAATGTTGTCAATAGTGTTCAGTCATTCATCGAAATCAGTAACACATGGAAAATGTGAGCGTATATATGAGTATTGCTTAATGTTTGCAATGCCACGTAATGCACTACGAAATAATGAGGGAACTATTCATACAAATTGAGAGAGAATGATTTTACTTCCGTTATTTGAGCGATTACGAGAAGCGTTCAGATTTGTTCTCAAAAAGAGGCACAAGCAAATGAGTGTTGACTGAAAGGGTAAGGCAAAAATGAACGTTACTCGTGTTAAATTCAATACGAGATATCACATTGATGGAACAAATTTTCGACGATTGATTATAGGCAATCGTAGTGGACTTATTTATGGATTATTGTTGTAGGTGACGTTCATTGGCACTTCTGACGGTAATGATGTTCTGCGTTTCTGAAAGTTGATTTTGAATTATTGTGACAAATTGTTGAAAGCGAACGTTAGCAAAGTATGGTCGAGTAGCCATTTTCAAACGAGCATTTCAAAAATTTCTCGAGCGAGCCATATTTAGAAGTACTTGTTGTAGATATTCGTCGATTTGCAGTTTTTAATTAATCCATGAATAGTTATTTAGTTATTTGTTTATGTCATTTGTTATTTGTTTACGTCATTTGCCAAGGAGCGATGTGTTGTTGCATGGATTATGGTGGTGTAATATCAATTTGGTTGTCATATGAATCGCCAGATAATCGTAGTTTGCATATGCATCCGTATTTGGAGAAGTATACCTGTCTTCGAGTCAGGATTTTTGGAAACCCATTCTGAGTATTTTGAGCCCAATTTTTTGCGATTTTTAACGCTATCATTAGTGAAAATATTATGTTTGGAATAAAATATATGAAGTAGCAAAGTGTAAAAAGTGACTCTCACCTTGACCTCAGATTTATTTCCAAATGNGAATAAAATATATGAAGTAGCAAAGTGTAAAAAGTGACTCTCACCTTGACCTCAGATTTATTTCCAAATGGACTTGCTAGAGGATTAACCGCAAATTTAGTCGAATTAACTAATGATCTCTTCCTTTCACCCGGAGCGACTTGTTGTGCGATGACGCGTTTTCGAATCACTTCTTTCGTTAAGTACATATAAAGGTATGTACTGCCCTGAAGTGATTATCGTTCACATAGTTTTAAAGCATAAGATATTGTTGATGTGAGAGTATAAATGTTGTACGCAACCAGTGAATTGAATTTGATTTAAGTTGAGATGGATGGCGATTATTGCTGTTTAAGAGAGGGGATCTCATGATGGCATCCTTAATGCGATGAAGTTGTTATCGTTTTTGAAAGTAAGAGTGATCCGAAACGACCAGTAAAAGAACTAGAGCTCAATTTTAATTTCAATTGGCTATTCTCTGAGGGAATCAATGGCTTATCTTCAACAAGTTAATGACAGCTTAATGACAGAAATAAACGCCTATTGACTATCATTTCTGTGTTTTATATGCGTCGTCATGTCATGCTCAGCCAAATCAGTGAATTGTGAATTTCACCTGAATTAAGCTTAAAATCGAGAGGCCAAGCCACATTCCAATTGAACCACCGAGTGCAGCGATGAAAGTGGTCACAGACCATACCCAGTCCTGTTTCAACGTTAAATATTCAAAAGATCCCCAGTTCAAATTCACTAACGTCAGATCTATAATAGTGCTGATTATATATATATATATATTGTTGGTGGAGTCTGTAATTATAAACGTCATTCGGAAAGAGATTTAATGATCGTCTAAGGTTATATTCTCAACGAAAAAGTTATGACGATATTCAAAAATCGCATCCTTTCAAACGATTGAGTGATATCTTCTCGTACACTTCAAATCTTTGTAGTTTTGATTTGTTTATGGCGAGACTTTTGTGAAGAATCGCAAATGTTCAGTTTTATTCAGTGGCTTACTTTCTTGTAGCATTTTGCCTTGTGCTTCATGAAATACCTCGTAACGAATTTGTGTGCAATCCCGGAAGCATTTCTTTGAGCATTGCTCGTCTGCTATGTGAATGTTTTCGACACTGAAAGACATTTCGAGATTGCTGTTGCAAATGTGTGTATTGTTAGATGTGTGAACAGGATTGTTGGGCTCGTATGGAATGATTGGACACTAGTAATGGAAATTACTATTGGCTGGAAAGGACAACTGAATAGGAACTGATTGGTGCATGTTGAGACTCGTCATAATTAGGAATCGTCTTTTGGGTGCGTCTGCTTACAGACTCTGGCGAAAATTGTTTGTCCGTCCACACATCGTTTTTGTCAAACAGCAAAATTATATCGTAGATTTCTGCTTTTCCTGAACAAATTCTTTAGTTCCACGAATAAATCCATCCCTTTTCCTTCAAAAACTTACAAAAATAGCGCCTCTTTGGATTGTTCCTCATCATGCAAATGCAGCATTCGATTTACAGCAGTTATTTACACGAATAGCAACTAACTCAATATCGCATTTTTCGTAGTCACACAGTGGGTACTTCTGAAGCTCTTTCTCATCCTCTTTTGCCAAATAACTCAACGTTAAGCCGGTACATTTGCAGAGCTGCTGAAATTTTACGAAGCCAATTATCGAAAATATTCTCGAAATTTGAAAACATTATTGTTGCACATTTTTGCTCTGATCATATTTCGAGACATTTCGTTGTTTTTTCTCATTAGAATGATTGATTGTTATTGCGTTCGGAAGTGAGAAGCAGTGAAACTTTTTTTGATGACAACTGAAAGTAAGCGAAACAATTGAAAAAAACTACATTATGATAGAATATTCAAATATAAGCGGAATAATAAAATTGGACAAATGCATCGATGAGCTGCCACCAGATTGATGTGGAAGAATGAAGTAAAAGTGGAATTTAAAGAGACCTGAATGAATTTCATTCGACATCGAGATCTGCAATCGAATTCGGTATCACTTCCCTCTTCGACATCTCGGCATGCCGTTCCGTTATCGTCATTCTCAAGCATTTCATATTTTGCTTTCACTTCTACAGTCACCTCATGTCGCAGCCCAGCACATAACTGAATAATTAAACACATAGCTGAAAGTTTTTTTGTCTGGCTTGCGAGCAATGAAATGCTCAAAGAAGGTGAATAAGTAAACAATCATCGTCATCGCTAACATCGTCATTGTATCCGTCTCTGGCTCGACCTTTTGCTTGCATGAATCTGGCCAGCGAGCTGGGTCGTCCATGAAAGTCCACTGACATGCACTCGACATCCACACCGTTCAGATTTTCGACATCGTGTGCCAGCATCATTGTGAAGAAATTACCCTTAATAAGAAAATAATGATGAATATTATCATAAAATGTAATGTCGATTCATTTTCACTATATGAGTTTTTGTTCTTCAAGTTGCCATTTTGATTTCCTCCGAATTCGTTGGATGCGGCGAAGTAATAGTAGATGATAATGATGTATCAGATTCATTTCAACTCAGAAATGCATCTTTCGGATGTTTTGAACTGACTTGATCTTCGATGCTTTGAAAGTTGTCTTCGTCGAACCACGGTTGAAAGCAG